ATGCCTGGGTTCTGTGCCCGTGTGTGCCCTTGCATGACAGGCCAGGTGTACCCATGGGAGGGGCTCCTGGCCAGGACAGCTGAATTCTCCACCCCTTCTGCTGCCAAGGGCCCAGAGCTGGTCCAGCTCTCTCCATGACTCAGTTTCCCCTGGCGAGGGGGTGCTTCCCTCTGGGGGGGGTGAGCCGTTCAGCCCAGGGGGCCGGGGCAGGGGTGCTGTGTGTGTTGGGGTGGGGATGGGCTGCAGGGGTGGGGGGGAGGTGAAGAACAAGGAGCTGGGGGCCACTAAGGAGCAAATTGCTTCCAGGCTCCAAATTACAACCAGCCACGCTACAGCCTCCAGCCCCCAGGGTGAGGAGGCTGGAGCTGGGTTGCTCTACCCCAGAGCCAGCTGCATCTGCCAAGCCCTTGGCTGCCACCTCCCCACCCTGGGGTGACAGGGTGAGGAGACTAAACACCTGGGTTCTCTCTGCTTCTGAAAGGGGATTGAGGGTGGGGGTCAGAATGAAAGCAGGGAGAATTGGGAGCCCAGACACCTAGGTCCTTGGTCTAGCTTTGGCAGTGAGACAGCTCTAGGAGCAGGCCAGGAGGCTGGACTCCTGGGCTCCCTGGCACTCTTTGCTCTGAGTGGCTGGGAGGCCAGACTCCTGGGTTCCCCGGTGCCCCGGACTCTGTGCCTGGGGGCTGGGCAGCAGGCGGGAAGCCAGGCACCCCCCTTCCTGTCCCAAATGCAGAGGACCTCAGCCCCCAACCATTTCAATATGGGGCATGGGGGGGCCCGGACGCCTGGGTTCTCTCTCTGGGAGGGAATTGGGGCTGGATGGTTTGAATTGGGGGAGACAGGCAGCCCAGATGCCTGGTTCTCTCCCTGTGCCCTGGGAGAGGGGGTGCAGTTCTATGAAGGCAGGGGAGGCGTTGGGACCCTTGGGTTCTCTGAATTTGCACCCCCCCCACCTTCCAGTGCTCCTCGCTTCCGACTCAAAGCCCCCATCCCTACCCGACCCCTGCCTCATCCCCAGCTAAATAAATGACTGGGCGGGGAGGGGCCTTGGCAGGACATCGTGTTTCTAGGCCCAGGCGGGTGGTACTGTGGGAGGGGGGGGCAGCTGTTAAATCCTCCCGGACAGGATGGCACCTTGCTGCTCTAACCGCTTGGTATTGCTCTCCTTCCCCAGCCCTGTGGACAGATCAGGACAGGGTCCCCTGGAGGGCCCAGACCCTATGCCAGGGCCTGCCTGGCACCACCCACCTCCTCAGACAGGGGCAGGGAGTGAGGGAGTGTGTGTGGCCCGAATGCCTGGGTTCCCCTTGCCCTGGAAGGAAGTGGGAAGGGCAGTCTGGGCTCTGGGACTCCTGGGTTCTATCCTGGCCTCAGGGAGCTGCTGGGCAGAGACCAGCTGGGAGTCTGGATCCCTGGGTTCTACCCAGGCTGGGCCTGTGCCCCCCTCTTCCATAGTGCCCACTGCCCCTTGGCCTGTGCCCCTCCTGACCTGCAGCCCCCTCCCCCCGGCCCTGCCAGTGCCCCATACTTCTCACCCACGGCTTCTGCCCCGCTGGAAGCCCGTTACCTCGGGTGACCTCCTGCCACTGAACAAAGGCCCATTGAGCCCCGCCCCGCCCCCCCTTGGGCACAGGTTGTTCCACAGCCCCCAGTGACTCAGACCTTCCCGGGCAGGGGGGAGGGGCAGGAGGCTGGCACAGCCCCAGCCTTGGCCCCCGGCCTGGCCCCCCCACCCCACCCCTCCCGCCTGGCCCCGGCCCCACAAGCTGTTCCCAATCAGCCTGACGCAGGCACAGAGGGAGGTTTATGGGGTGGTTTGGCAGCGCCTGGGTTGGGGGGACAGGGCCCCCACCACAAAGCCACAGCACCCCCTGCAGCGGAGACAGGGCAGGGCAGGGGGCTGCAGGTTGGGAGTGAGGGGCACCAGCAAGGCTGGAGGGGTCAGGGGCTGCAGGTCTGAATTGAGGGGCATCTACAGGGCTGAGGGGGGCAGGGGGCTGCAGGGTGGGAGTGAGGGGCACTGGCAGGGCTGATGTGAGTCAGGAGTGAGTGAGGGGTACCCACAGGGCTGAGGGAGACAGGGGCTATGGGACAGGAGTGAGGGGCACCAGCAAGGCTGGGTGGGGGGAGGGGGGGGAAGCTGGGGGCTGCAGGCTCTAGGGCTGTGCTCTGGGCCCTGGCGCCACCTAGCCCCAGCAGGAGGAACTGCAGGCACCTGCCTCCCTCAGGGGTAGGGGAAATTGGGGGTGGTTGGGCAGGGCCAGGCTGTGCCAGGTGCTGGGTCTCTTGTCTCCCTTTAGAGGTTCAGGGGAGGGCAGGACTCCTGGGTTCCCTTCCAGCCCCAGGAGCAGGCTTGGTAGATTAGAGCAGCTGGGGGTCCAGACGCCAGGGTTGTCTGCCTCACTTGGCTGGAATGGGGCATGAGGCCTAGTGGATGGTCCCCACCTCCCCCGCAGCTGGTCCTAGCCCAGCCCCCTCTGCTTGTACCCCAGCCCCACCCCCAATGACCTGCCTGGGGGCCCCAGTCAGTGTCTCTGGGCTAGCACAAGGCCCTGGGGCTTGACGGGGGTGGGGTGGGGTGGTGCTCAGCAGGCCAGGCTGTAGCCCCTCCTGCCCCAGCAGCCAGAGCCCCCTCCCCTGCACTGCGACCTTTGCCCCCACTGGGTGCCTGCCAAGCAAATGAAGGTCTGGCATCAGCCCAAGGTGACCGAGGGACTGGGCCACCACTTCTGGGGCAGGGGAGGGGGCACCCCCACAACTCCCACAGCCCCATTCCCTGGGACCCACCCCCCTCCAGGGCTGCCCACAGATGGGGGGGCAGGGGACTCTGGGTCAGGAGTGACGGGCTCCAGCAGGGCCTGGGGGCTGCAGGTTGGCAGTGAGGGGCACTGGCAGGGCAGGAGGCTGCAGGTCAGATGTGAGAGGTCACCAGCAGGGCTGGGGTGGGGCAGGGGGCTGCGGGTCAGGAGCGAGGGGTATTGGCAGGGTCAGGGGCTGCTGTCAAGTGTTGGCAGAGGGCTGCAGGTTAGGAGTGAGGGGCACCAGCGGGGTTGCAGGGCACGGGGGCAGGTTGAGAGGGAAGGGCAGCAGCAGAGCAGGGAGCTGGGGGTCTGGAGTGAGCGTCACCAGCTGGGCTGGGGGGCTCTGGGGCCACCAGGTTCCCGGACTGGGTGAAGGGCTGGGGGTCAGGAATGAGGGGCACCAGCTGGGCTGGGGTTAGGGGAGTAGGCAGGGCCCCCTGTGGCCGCGCCGCCATTTCAGGGGAGCGCCCCCCCCCGCCTCCTTCCCTCCATCAAATGGCTGCAGCCGGCACATTTGCCCAGCTGCCAGCGGGCACCGGGCAGTGCCAAGTCTCCTCTTAAAGGCACATGCGCCCCTTTCCTGCTGGTAGGGACAGGCTTAGGGCTTGGAGCTCTGTGCCCTTCCCATGCCACCCACCAGTCTGGTTCCTGTGTTGCACTCCCCACTCTGCTCCTCCCAGAGCCAGAGAGAGAACCCAGGTGTCCCGGCTCCTGCCCCCCAACCCTATCCCTGCAGTGCAGCGCCTCCTACTGGATGGTGTTAAGGGGGGTTCTGGGTTTCAAGGCACGGGGTGATTCTCAGGGGCTGCTTTGGGGTATGTGCAATATGTGTGTTCCCTGCATCCATATGGTGCCACCAGCCGCAGATATGCCAGTGACAGGTACCAGCCCCATGGGCTTGGCATGTTGCATCCCAGGCTGATTATGGCCCTGAGATGGGCCCTGCATTGCACACCTGTCTCATAAATGTTGTGTACCCCAGTGAGAGTGTGTGCTGGCCAAGATGTGTGGGGGAGATCGGTGTGTACAGACATGTTCAGGGGCATCACCCCATGGGGCCTGGTTGCAACTGGCTCTGGGGTGGAGATGTCATGGCCTGGGGACACAGGCCTCTTCCTGTCCCCAGTGCAGGCCTAGCTTGGGGGGCTGTGGTAAGCTTGGCCCCATGTCTCCACTGGGTGAAGATAAAGCCCCTCAGCCCCCAGTGTAGCAGGGGGGACAGGGTGTGTGAGGTGGGCTGTGGCTGGGAAGACCCCAGAGAGGGCCCTGATCTTGGCCTTGGGGGTGTCAGCAGTTGCCACCATGATGCCTCCCTTGCTTATAACCTTCTGGCCCCTACTCCTTTGAGTGGAGAATGAGACCCAGGTGTCCTGCCCTCCCCTTCATTTATCACTGGACCTCCCGCCCCCCAAGCGGAACCCAGAAGTCCTGGCTGCCAGCCCTACCCCCACATCCCAACTGTGGCACAGCTGCCCCCCATGTCATATCCTGTGAACCTTGCAGACCGCCCTTCCAATTATCCCCTCCCTTCCAGGGCCCCCCGCTCTCTGCTCAGCCCC